CCCCACCGCCGGCACTCGGATAGTTATCTTGGGCATAGCATTTTACCAAATTTTCAAAAATTTTCAAAAGATTTCGGCTATCACCTCATTATGTCCGGTCGTGATGGTCAAGTGGATTAAGGCGTCTTGTACATACCAGTTGCGTTGCTTCTGGGAGTATGGGTTCGAGTCACTTCTGGGGTGTGAGTTTTCAGTTGCATATGTCCTGGGGACCATTCAGGCTTGTTCGCATATATATATATATATATATATATATATATATATATATAGGATGCACAAGAAGAAATATCTACTGCACAATATAGATTTTATTTTAAGTATTAAAGACTTTGTTACAGTTACAAGAAGGTAAGTTGATTGATTTTAGCCGTTTATTATGCACCTCATACCCATATCACTGGCGGTGGTGGACCCTATACCCATTCCATGGGAGGTGGTGGACCCTATACCCATTCCCTGAGCAGTAGTGGACCACATACCCATTCCGAGGTGATAGTGAGCCCCATACCCATCCCGTGAGCCGTTATGAAAAAGGTTATAGAGATTCATAATGGACTCAGTAACTAAACCCCAAAGATCATTCAGCTAAGTAAGTAACAGCGTAGTGAAGCCAGTTACACAGTTTTATATTCTAATCACCTGGACTCTGGGAGACTCGAACCCTGGCCCCCCCCCACGAGTGTGAGGCTGAAGCTCTACCCACCGAGCTATTAAGTAGCCTTAATAAGGAAAATTTCCATTTTGACAGTTTTATTCATGTCATCAATCTTTATATATCCCAAGGCTTTCAAGACCTGCAAACAGGTGTTAGTTTAATGATGAGGATCTTTCTTGAGATGATTTCGGGGCTTTAGTGTCCCCGCGGCCCGGTCCTCGACCAGGCCTCCACCCCCAGGAAGCAGCCCGTGACAGCTGACTAACACCCAGGTACCTATTTACTGCTAGGTAACATTTGCATTGTCATACAAAACATCTGAGCTTCAGTAATGAGGAAAATGAGCCCCGTCGAAATGTAACAATTATTTTGTGTATATTTGATCTGGCAGTGAACGCACAGTGCCCTTGCCCACACACAGTGCCAGTGCCCACAGTGCCAGTACCCACAGTGTACAGTGCCCACATACACGTACTCAAGTCTTCACAGAACTTGCACAAAAATACGTCTTAAGACGATGAGGGAAAACGGAATATGAGCAGATGGATGCAGACGATGAGTCACAATAACGTGGCTGAAATATGTTGGCCAGACCACACACTAGACAATGAAGGGACGACGACGTTTCGGTCCGTCCTGGACCATTCTCAAGTCATTCTCAAGCAGATGGATGAGGCAGTCAGTATGAGCGCTATTGTAATCAAGTGTAACCTCCGGAAGAAGAACCAAATTGCCAATAATCTCATTGATTATGTGGGGCTTGGGATCACAGCTTTCGGCGGCTGTTCGAATATCTTGAAATGACAGTATATAGTCCACGAATTCATCGCTGTATACCCAAATACAGAATAATAAATCCGTTATTCTTTATACTTTTGCAATAAGGTCATGTAGTTTTGAGCCTTTCAACTGGTTCACAACACAAGTGAGTCAAGAGCTTCTCAGTTATTGATGGGGCCAACTTTGGTGCAGCCGGAACAGATATAGAATAGTTGGCCCTACAATATACGGGACGGAAAGAAAACTTATTAAAGAAAACTATAAACTAGGGCACCCTTACGAAAACCGGGCGGAAAGCACAGGACTGAATAACGCCAACGGACCCCTGGAATTCAACACGCCAAAAGAGAGAGCAGGAGAAACAACCAGAAACGGAGAATGTTGTAAAAATGTGGAAAAGAATGTCCACTTTCTTTTCCTTAACGTTATAGAGGTGTGGTTGATTACTGCAAAGGTTTAGTTAACTCATTTTACCGCAGCTCTTAGACTTGTTAAGTAGCGGTTAGTGACTGGAGTCATGATCCACCACCATCAAAATCAAAAGTAATTATCCACCATCAATAATCAAAAGTAATTATCCACCATCAATAATCAAAAGTAATTATTCACTGTACCCAAACATGGAGCCGTTGTCTAAAAAGGACAAACTATATTGTTTTAAACAAAAGAAAAATCAGGAAAGAGCAGTAAAAATCGTCTCGGTATTACATTGAATCTCAATCCAGGAAAAGTTGAAACAGCCAAGTCTCGCAAATGCAGAGATCTGGGGCCAGATTCACGAAGCAGTTACGCAAGTACTTACGAACGTGTACATCTTTCCTCAATCTTTGTCAGCTTTGGTTATATTTATTAAACAGTTTACAAGCATGAAAACGTCCCAATCAACTGTTGTTATTGTTATAAACAGCCTCCTGGTGCTTCGGAGCTCATTAACTGTTTAATAATTGTAAACACAGCCGTCAAAGATTGCGAAAAGATGGACAGGTTCGTAAGTGCTTGCGTAACTGCTTTGTGAATCTGGCCCCTGGATCACCGCTACAAATTTGCCTCCATTTTCTCAGAGAGACGCTTGGTGCCTAGAGTAAAAATGCCAATATTTTTTTTTTTTTAAGGATCTGGGTTCTAAGCTCAATGAAGCAACAAGAGACCCCAGAGCTGCCAGCTGCCTCTTCCAGCGTGATGATGCAGTCTGGGAAACTCATATTTTCATCTATGGTTCGAGCCCATCATCTGGAGGAACTCTACAACCTGTATCAACCTTGTACCCGGCATGTAACCAATGTTGTAACCCTTTTTGTTTAATGAAGTTTTAAATTAAATAAAATAATAAATTGCATATATATTCAATATAAATTGCAATAAGTTATTACGAAACGCGTTCAAGTGTCGCGTCAGACTAAAAATATAAATGAATTTTGGAGAATTGATTTTTCAATTACCATCGACAGTAAAAAGAAACATAAGAAATATTGAGAAAATTCGTGTTAGAATTATTAATCTTACTTTTTCGGTCATATTTAATAATATATGTTTACAGGAAAGACTGCTACCAAAATATACTAATATAATATAATATAAATATATATAATCCCTACAACATAGGTGACTAGCCCCAGGGTACCTATGCTAGGTGGAACAGGTGCATTAAATTGAAGGAAAAACACCCAACTATTTCTGTCCTGCCCGGGATCCGAACACAGAATTCGCGATTGTGAGGCGAGAACCAACCCGACTGTACCCTGATATCCTTCGATGCCCGACTTAGCTTGTGTGTGAGAGAACCGAGATCATCTACCAAGGTTCCCAGAGGTTACCTGAAGGTGATTTCGAAGATCAACGTCCGCTGAAGCTCTCTGCTGCGCTCTCCTGCAGCGCCCGGGGCCAGATTCACGAAGCACTTACGAACGTGTACATTTTTCCTCAATCTTTGACGGCTTTGGTTACATTTATTAAACAGTTTAGAAGCATGAAAACTTGCCAATCAACTGTTGTTATTGTTATAAACAGCCTCCTGGTGCTTCGGAGCTCATTAACTGTTTAATAATTGTAAACAAATCCGCCGATGATTGAGGAAAAATGTACAGGTTCGTAAGTGCTTGCGTAACTGCTTCGTGAATCTGGCCCCTGCTGTATGCCAGAGTTTCAGCAGGTCGCTTGTTAGAGTCCTCGGAACTGCTATTCTAATTCCCCATATTGTGAATTTTAGAGTCATTTAGAGTCAGTCTAATAATGAAGTGTATAGTGTTATAGTGAGTGACATTTGAGGCACGTGGTTGGGTCTCTCAATCAAGTCATTGCATGAAATGTTCAATATTACGTGTTAATTAATTGTTCAAAATTTTAACAAAGAAGGTTTAAAAGTATTGTGTCTTTTTGACATCTGACCAGGAAAATTGTCACCCAATGGGCGGAGGGTACACTTCACTCTCGACCTTCGTACAAACCACAATGATGTAAATGCTTTAACCACGCACTTCAAGTACCAACCCATCCTCGACTCAAGTCCATTACACCCAGCGGTCGACCCCACAGACGCATTCATAAATTTTAACATGCTGTTCATTCAAAACGGGAATTTTCTCAAGTATAAATTAATATTATAATATATTAGCATATTGTGTATATATAGGCATAGGATAGGTTAGGTGTTTAGGTTCTGTTGGCGATTATTTGTATTTGTAGTACGTGGGTGAAGCATTTATAGCGTTGTGATTCGAACAAAATTCGTCAGTGAAGCGCTTGTTCCGGATATGTTCGAACGTCAGCAGTTGTGAGTCGTGTGTAAACCGCTTTTCATTCATAAACGGGGTTTGGCGGGTGCATGGAATCACTTTTTCGACCAGAATCACTGGTCACGAGGACCAGTCTCCGTGGTATAGTGGTAAGACACTCGCCTGGCGTTCCGCGAGCGCTATGTCATGCGTTCCTATCCTGGCCGGGGAGGATTTACTGGGCGCAATTCCTTAACTGTAGCCTCTGTTTAACTCAACAGTAAAATGTGTACTTGGATGAAAAAACGATTCTTCGCGGCAGGGGATCGTATTCCAGGGACCATAGGATTAAGGACTTGCCCGAAACGCTACGCGTACTAGTGGCTGTACAAGAATATATCAACTCTTGTATATATCTCAAAAAAAAAAAAAAAAACTTTTGGATCTTTGTTTCTAGGACGGGCTGAACAAAGACCCAAAAGTGATTCTATTCACCCGCCAAACCCCCTGTTAATGAATGAAAAACGGTTTACACACGACTCACAACTAATTTTGTTCATACACTTCCGGAACAAGTGCTTCATTGGCGAATTTTATTCGAACCACATCTCAACGCATCCCATGATCTTCCCGAACACTAATAAGTTCGCTCTCGCACAGCTAAAACTCTCATCCTCTACACTGAAACATCACACACACATAAACTCGATTTCCTATCATAAATCTTCTCCTAGAGACGCATGCTACACACGCACACAGAGCCCCTACCTCCCCCCATCACCACAAACCCCCACACCGCCCCCACCACCACCACCGCCCCCACACCCGCCCCCCCACCACCGCCGGCAGCGCCACCACCACCACCACCACCACCCAAGCCGTCAGAGGAAACTGGAATGCACTGACAAAAACAGTCTCTTGTCCCTCTCTCTCCACCTGTCTCTTGGAACACAACCTCGCTCACGTTCTTCGTTGTCCTAGAGTGCCTTGGGATCTGTGGATTAAACGAGCTGTAAGTAAAGCCTTTTGCATCTTTTTAAACACTATGCGTTCGAATTTTGTGTATTTTTGAATGATACGTCGCCTTTGACGTATTATTCACTTATTCATACCCACGTGTTTAGCTAATCTCTGACGCCAGTGAGCCATACGCATTCACATATAGATTCGCAGACTTACATATATTTGATATTTTGAAAAAGTGGACTTGTTGGTATTTTTCATGTCAGGTGACTGTCAGCACTAAAAAGGCGCGAAGTAAAAGTAAGATGCGATTGGGCTGCCTTCCAAACCTCGCTGCGCGAGGCAAATACCGGAATTACCCGAAGTGGCAACTCCTTGCACAGTTGTAACATTGAACGAGTCGGTGTTTGGAATTTAACACAAGGAAACAATGCTCTATATCTCGCGGGAAGGTTTTGTTGATAAACAAACCCCCAGTATAGATGCTATTCAGTTGCGTGCGATTTGTCCCTAGTATGTGCATGCTAGTGGAAGTCACGCATCTTGGTGTCTTAGAGTTGCAGCAACTGGGGGCCATTGGGTGCGCTTGTGTGTGTGTGTGTGTGTGTGTGTGTGTGTGGGGCAGCTACAGTTGTGTGGTCGTGCCGCTGGTGGAGTGAACACTTGTGTTGGGAAGGACCTGCAACCCTCGCTTCACCATACTGCTAGACACGTATTCCTCTGTGTACACAGGTGGATAAACAGGCCGTAGCAAGAAGTGCGTGCGTGTGTGTGCGTGTGTGTTGATCGCGTGTGGGGCAGCAAAGGGGGTATGCCTTTGTTGCGTTCCTATGTTGCATATATCCTCTAATTGTTTGTGACGCTAAGTTGTAAAGTGTTTTAAATTGTGGTAATTAACACTAACTAATTTAGCACAAAGTGCGCGAACGAGCTTGTTCCTCTAGCGGACAGTTTGGGTACCATGACAGTGAGGATAGCACTGTTCCCCCCTTTCCCAAGGCCATCAACTTAACCCAGGATCAAGAATGTTATATTGATATCAGTGTTCCGGATGCTGATCAAACAGATCTTGATATCTCAAGTCCAATAATCGTCTATTGGGAGAGTATCATCATACAAGGTCCTCAGAACATCATTGTATACGCCCGTCCTGATCTTCAAGGGAACTGAAACCTGATTATCAGGTTCTGATAATGTTGATCACGTATATTGCGTCAAATGAATTGCATATTTTTCCATGTTTTGGACGCTCAGGCCTAGCGCTAACGACAGCTGGACCAAACCCAGCATAGTTACTGTGATGTTCTGTGGGGATTACCATATCACTTACGGTGCAGCCTGTCCTTGAGTGCACAAATTCCTTAACTGGAGGTGTATCCTCCCCCGTGATTAGCAAGGACTGATGATCTAAATACACCCTCAGCACATACCATTCATTCACTCCAAACAATCTACCATTTATAAGTCATTTATACTTATACGTAATACTTATATTAAATCCCCCGTATATTTATACGGGGATATATTCGTGAAAAGGCCATGTATTAATTGAGAGGTTGGGTTGTATGGTAAACAATGTTCGTTCACATACACTGATTACGGGCTCACCATAGCCCGTGCTACTTTAAACTTGTTCAGAGTAGCTGAATCTATAATAACAACATAACTGGTTCCATTGTCTAAGTTTACTCCTCGCCTTGGAAACGAAGAAAAGTTTGATAAGAAAATCATGCATGAAGTTCTTTATAAGGAGCCAAGACGTTCTGAATTTTTTCAGAGCGAAATGGCTGCTAAATATAAAGCTTTAATGCCGACAGAAAGTAAACTTAACATTGAATACCGTTACTACCCCGCGTTGCTGGGATCTTTTGAGTTTTAAGCTCAAACTCAGAGTATTAAAGTTAAGTTTAGAAAAAGTTCTGGGCACTTTTTGGCAATATTATCGACAATAAAAAACTTGCTACTAACGTAACACGGCGTTAGCTAAAGCATAGACGCAAGGATTGACAGATTGCGTTAAATTCGTTAATAATTTTTCTTGACAATCTCATTGTATTAAGATAATCTATTACATAATGAGGGGGGTGGGGGGGATGCGAGAAGAGTCGTCAAATAGAGGAATGTATATTGTGCCGTGTGTGTGTGTGTGTGTGTGTGTGTGTGTGTGTGTGTGTGTGTGTGTGTGTGTGTGTGTGTGTGTGTGTGTGTGTGTGTGTACCCGTATGTGCGTGTGTGGAAAGCTGTGTCGCAATTTCCCGTGCGTCAAGAGGAGCCTTGCCCAACAGGTCAAGGCGACGAGACTCGCATCTTAAGTGATTTATCTCCCGTCAAATATCAAACAAAAATGGCACGAATTTCTATATTCGTCATATTCTATGTTTAAATTTTGTAGTAAGGAAATTTAATTAAGTTTTAAATTATAGTCATTTTGTATATAATTGACTATAATAATGTTACTTAGGAATTATTGCACCGTGAATGTAAGATTTGGTTAACTACGGAGAAGACGTCTTGTAGTACGTCGTAGCTGTTGTACGTCGGGATGACGTATCTAGTCAAACGGTGACGAATAGACGGAAAAAAGTTAAGCGGAGACGGACGAATGAAAAGAGGGAAGCATGGAAGGAGGGAGATAGAGGAGAAGAAGAGAGACTTGCTTTGTCTAGTCTTGTGCAATTCACAGTACCTGCATGTGCAATCCTAGCTAGTGCACCCGAAGTTAGCTGCTACACCCGTTGTTCCTAAGTAGTCGTTACAGGAGAGGAACCAGAGTCGTCCTTGACAGCTGTACCAAGCACAGGGTGCCAATTCCTCCCTCCCCCTGTGTATGTTAAAATACACAGCGAAGTACGCGCTGTGCATTGACATGTTTGCACTAGGTCGTAAACATGTTTGCTCTGGCCGTACGACCACGCCAGAAGGAGGCGTGGTCGTACGGCCAGAAGTGGGCGTGTTTGTTCAGTCTGTGTTACGTTAAGTCCTCGTTCGTGAAGCTCGTAGCTCCGGCCGAAGCTACAAGTCAAATGCTGAAATTAATATCTCATAAGTCAGTATTCGACTTGTAGAGTAGACGTCTCATATACGAAATTATTCTTTTACGTGGCATAACAAATGTTTCTTGTATCGAATATAAATGAGCGTAATTATTTATAGGTTTTGGAAAGTGTTCGGAGCGAAGGCTGGAAGTGTTCGAAGCACAGCTAGGCTGGAAGTGTTCGAAACACGTTTTGCGTCATGGCTTCGAATGCGGTCACGTAGTAGTGAGCCCGACGACCCTTCGTTTTGATAATGGGCTCTTATACTTAATATGTTGTTAAATAAAAGCATTTCGGTGTAGAGGGATTTCTGTAGCTAAGCTCAAGGGGACTACGGGTGTCAGTGAGCGCCAACCAAAGTCTGAGGCTGAAGCTCTATCGATAGAGCTGTAGAGTTGTCTCCTAGAGCCCATGAGCCAGATTCACGAAGCAGTTACGCAAGCACTTACGAACCTGTTTATCTTATCTCAATCTTTGGCGGCTTTGTTTACAATTATTAAACAGATAATGAGCTCCGAAGCACCAGGAGGCTGTTTATACAGCCCGCCCTCCAAACAAAGATACAAAAGTGATTCCATGCACCCGCCAAACCCGCTGTTTATGAATGAAAAGCGGTTTACACACGACTCACAACTGCTGACGTTCGAACATATCCGGAACAAGTGCTTCACTGACGAATTTTGTTCGAATCACAACGCTGTAAATGCTTCACCCACGTACTACAAATACAAATAATCGCCAACAGAACCTAAACACCTAACCTAACCTATGCCTATATATACACAATATGCCAATTATATTATAATATTTATTTATACTTTTGAAAATTCCCGTTTTGAATGAACAGCATGTTAAAACTTATGAATGCCTCTGTGGGGTCGACCGCTGGATGTAATAGACTTGAGTCGAGGACGGGTTGGTTTATAACAATAACAACCGTTGATTGGGTAGTTTTCATGCTTGTAAACTGTTTAATAAATGTAACCAAAGCCGTCAAAGACAATTTATACCAAGGTCTGTGTTAAAATATACTTTTTTCTCATTTTGCAGAGTTTAACAGGAAAACACACATTCCCTGCTAAGTTACAAAGATTTAACCATTGTGACACCAGCTATGCAAAAGGGGTATGAGACCAGTGTGTGAGGAGTGAAGCAATGTGGGAATCAGTTGTGCGATGGACTTCAGATTAGCTTCTAGCGGTGAGGGCTTGTCAAGATGCTTCAGTCTCGTGCTGTCAACACACAGGTGCAGCGCGCTTCCTCGCTTCATGGCCGGTGTCCCACCTTCTGTGGCCTAGCAACCTGGTGAGCCTTCCCTGGAGCTCGTGATAAACCATCAACTCTGCCACAATGAGCACCAGCATCAAGCTACCAGTATGTGGGTTTTTAACCTGTTGCGTATATAGTATGGTGTTGAAATGGTTCTGTTAGTTTACATGTAAATTAATGTCGAAATTGGCAGGTTTAAACGTTTCAAATCAACGTGTTTTGAAATCCCCAGCTAGCCAAAGTGAACTGGATCATCCGACGCGGGTATGTACTCTCAAATTTGCATGTAAAGAATGATAAAATTAATCTAGTAACTAATGTACATAACTATGTACATACAGTATATGCATTCATGCGTACATGCACTGTATATGTTAAGGATTACTGGAGGGGGCGACGGGTCAAGCCCTTTCGCCTAGAATTCGACCCACATGACATTTTCTTTAATCGGGAAGGGTCGAGTTTGATTCCCAATTGGGAATTGGAGAATACCATTGATATAAATGTCCAGCTATAGTGTGCAGGGGGGAAGCGTGGACTGTTAAGGCTTGTGGTTTGCTTGCTACATTTTTATTATAACGAATTGGGAATGTGTAACAAAACATAATTTCTAGTCTGATTTTGTCGTGTCTGGCGTTCCTGAGGGGCCACAGGGACGCATTATGGGCGTCCCTGTTCTCCCTGTGGTCAGAAAGGATGCTATTGGACTAGTTTTCCGGCCATGCTTCATACCTGGCAGTGGACCTGTTACGTGTTCCAGTGGCGGCTGTATGGGGTGTGCAGCTGATATTTCCCGGTCCCCGGTTTCTGCAGCTCCCCTGGATGTTGGAGGTGTGGGTGTCGAGGTGGAGGTTAGTCAGCCCTCTGTGCAGCTGCCCTCTGCACGGCTGGCCCTCTGGATCTTTGCCCTCTGTGCCTGGTGCTTCCGAGGTTCTGTCTCTCTAACCTTCGTCTTCTGTGGCATCTGTGTCGTCGCATCAGACGCCCTCCGGAATGGTTGTTCCAGACTTGTATGCGGTGCCTCAGCTGTTCTACCACGGAGGAGTGGGCGCTTTGGATTGCCCGCTGTTCTCGGTATCCTGTGCGGGGGTGTCAAGGAGGAGTATATATATCAGGAGTATCCTGTCAAGTGTGCTTGACCTTCTTCTTCCCGGGTTGTTGGCAGCTCATGTTTTTGTTTATACTCTGGTTTGTTAGTATGTTTTTTTGTCCTGTTTGTGTTTTGTTTTGTTTTATTTTATACTGTTTGTTCTGATGTATTGTTGGTTTCTTTGTATATATTGTTTTTCCATTAAATTAATAAGGCGTTCTCATTTCATGTTTGTTCTAGGCTTTCAGACTTTTGTTTTATTGTAATTGAGTATTGACTGTATCGTGTGGGTGATTTGGTGTCCATTTTGGACTGCCTTGTGTATTTGTTTCTATGTACTTAAATTTTCGTGTGTTGTTCATGTGTTTGTGTTGGGGATTGTTCTCTTTGTACTTTTGTTGCTGGTCTGTCATTGTTTTTATTGTATTTCTTTAGCTTTTGCATGTAAATATAAAAATAAAAAGTTATAGTGTGCAGGGGGGAAGCGTGGGCAGTTATGGCTTTTGGTTTGCTCGCTTCATTTTTATTATAATGAATTGGGAATTTATAACAAAAATTATTACCTAGTGATAAACGTTCATTCACAAGATAGTTTAGATTAGAGGGTTAACAAATAATATTAATAAGTTCAAAAGTAGTTTAGAGTTGGTTAGAGAGTAGTCAAGGTCTGATATCTCTTGGTTTAACATTAACAAAAGGCTCGATTGAATGGTAAATAGTTTAATGGGTTTATTTTTAATAATGGTTAAACCTCGGTAACATTTGTGCTTCTTGCCAAGACAAATTCTGCTAATGGCTGCATCTTATTGCCGGGTTCGATTATAATTACATTTTTAGATGATGTCGAAAGAAATTATCTGCCAGGGGCCAGATTCACGAAAACACTTACGCAAGCACTTACGAACGTTTACATCCTTCCTCAATCTCTGACGGCTTTGGTTACATTTATTAAACAGTTTACAAGCGTGAAAACTTCCCAATCAACTGTTGTTATTGTTATAAACAGCCTCCTGGTGCTTCGGAGCTCATTAACTGTTTAATAATTGTAAACAAAGCCGCCAAAGATTGACAAAAGATGTACAGGTTCGTAAGTGCTTTCGTGAATCTGGCCCCAGGGTGGCAGGGAGTGTTGCACATTTTCGTCCTCGCACATCTCTTGCAATCGCAACATTAGAGTGAGCTGCTGTTCTCAGAGTCCACTCGGTCACTAATTCCACTGCATGCGTTATAATAATTTAATACAATATATTATTTTAGTTACACTCTGTTTTACTACTATAATATGATTAATTTAAAATATTCTAATTTGAATGCAAGAAATATAAATTTCCCCCAGTTATTGCTTAGTAAATTTCAAGATAGTTTAAAAAGTAGTAGTCAATAGGTAGGATAATAGGTTAGGTTAGATTCTTTAGTTTTATCCATTTTGACTTTTTTGTTTTGTAGCTGTTAACAATTTGTCTATTGAAGACACGTTTTTTTTCATTGGAGATTACAAGACTGAGGCTTTCACAAGCTGTCTGTTTTCTATTTAAAACTGCGTCACACTCTGGGTTTTGGTCTGCACAAGGATTATTACAAATATAATTTTTTTTTAACCTAATCGGATTGAAAAGATGGTGTTTGACTTAAGATCAGGTTGTACACATAACCACAATTGACCCACCATGTCCATACAAGCCAAGTCATACAATATTAGTTCTCTGTTAGCAATATAAGAGAAATTTTCAAAATCTGAAATTCATTGTGAATTTTTGTTTCACCCAGATTGCAATTGCATGCAACATAATCACTTTGCAGTGGTTTCGGTGCTTTGGAGCATGTAGTGGTTAAGTGGTCTAAGGCGTGTGCATTTGAATTCGTAGTGTGTACAGGTTCGAATCCTTTTCATGGCTCCTTCTGATTTTCTCATTAATTCATCACGTTAATATGATTTCTCTGTAAATATATCTAGAAGAGCGATCGTCATTTACAATTTACAGTCTGTATTTTATCCCATGAATGAGTATTAAAAGTTGCTTGCTTACCCATTTCTCACTTTTAATCTACGTCTCTACATATCTTGCAATGCAACTTAAGACCATTCTGACAGAATTTTGTCAGACCCGAATTGATATCATTCATATCGTGTGTGACAAGTTAGACCCAGTACACCTATCAAGCTCTCCTTCATAAAAATGAGTTGATAAGTCTCTTGCCCTGAGAGCGTTAGACGTCCGCTGAAAGATTAGTAATCCTAACTCTTCGCCTCTTGCTATATTTCTATAACTCATTGTAGACGAGGAGTCACAGTAGCGTGGCTGAAATATGTTGACCAAACCACACACTAGAAAGTGAAGGGACGACGTTTCGGTCCGTCCTGGACCATTCTCATGTCAATTGTGTGGGTTCACTTTCTTGGTTCATTGGTTCATAGTTCATTGTGGTTCGTGGTTCATTGTGTAGCTCACTTCACTTGTGTGTGGTTTGGTCATGGACTCGGTGATAGCTGCATGCTCCTAAGATTACCAAAGGAGTCAACAATGTGTGCAGTACTGAGTGACAGCACAAGGTTGAGTGACAGCACAAGGTTGAGTGACAGCACAAGGTTGAGTGACAGCACATGTCCGTCTTACCATATGGTTGACTCCTCTGTCAGCTCGTGACATTAGACAGAAGACGGTGCTCTAGGACGACGAACGACCAGCGTCTTTGTTCTGAACGTCTGTTTAAACGTCTGCTATGACGTCCCTGCTGGCTGCGTTTTGTTAGACAGCATGAGATGTACAAAAATATTGTTTTGTTCGAAATTGATTTTCGAACAAATGGTTCGAAAATCAATTGTTCGAAATGATTGAGGGAGGGAACTATCAGGGGGAAAGCACAGACATTACGACTCTATAGCCCTGTGAAGGGGTCAGGATAAGGATTTGAGATGGGACGGGGGGAAGGAATGGTGCCCAATCACTTGGACTGTACGAATCTTCCTGGATTATTTTAGTTGGGGAGTTATTGCACTTGCCGGATAGTGGCCGGTACGGGAGGGGGGGTAGTTGAGAGAGGGGTGATGGAAGAGGGGGTGTTGGGGGAAGAGAGAGGGGTGATGGGAGAGGGGGTGTTGGGGGAAGAGAGAGGGGTGATGGGAGAGGGGGTGTTGGGGGAAGAGAGAGGGGTGATGGGAGAGGGGGTGTTGGGGGAAGAGAGAGGGGTGATGGGAGAGGGGGTGTTGGGGGAAGAGAGAGGGGTGATGGGAGAGGGAGGAATGGAGGTGAGAGAGGGAGAGTTCGGGGAAGGACCTTTTGAAGGTCATATCTCCCTCATTATATTATTTTATCCCATGGGGACTTCTAAGCTGTCTAGGCTACGACAGATTCATTCGATATAATCCCGGCTTTCCCGTAAACTACCTCCGGTTTTTTATATATAAATATTAGGTGAGATAAATCTAAGATGGTTGTAAGACAAAGCCTCAGTAGATGAGTCAGGAGAAGCTTGTCCTTGACCAAATCCACAAGGACTGTGACGAGGATTCGAACCTGCATCCGAGATCATCCCAGACGCTGCCTTAATCGACTGAGCTACGACATGGTAAAAAAAAACTCTTGGTCTTGACCTTACGTGGCGATGCTGTGATTGTTGTTGATTGTGGGGCGACGACAATCAAGGGATCAGATGCGAGGTATATACAATCATGTTCATTTACAAAATATGAAAGTACACAAAAAAAATTACTTTTAAAAACACAGAGATCACAATGTGACGAGGGTAACTTCTGGTTGCAATTCTTTTAACCATGTCGTAGCTCAGTCGATTAAGGCAGCGTCTGGGATGCTCTCGGACGTAGGTTCGAACCCTCATCACGGCCCTTGTGGATGTGTTCACTTTTAAAAACTTTAGTGATTTTATGTATCGTTTATTTCAAATCGAATTACGTTAAACTTTCATCATAATAATCTCGTATAACGGAAAAACAAAATTAAAAATATACCCCCACGAGTTCAGAGGTGATAATTTCTATATATCAAATAAAATTCGGCTTCAAATACGGACTCAGGTTCGCCTTCACAGACGTGGAGTCCAGGGTTCGAGTCTCCTAGAGCCCAGGTGAACGGAAATCTATATATCAAGTTTGTCTAATATAGTCTACACTGAACCGAGCTGTTGGTAGATGAGTTTGTTGGTACGACCTCGCTAAAATTATTCCTCGCAGAGCTCAGCACACTCACCAAGGATGCGTGCACACGCACTCACACTTGAAGGTGAGAGGTTGGGGGGGGGGGAGGTGAGAGAGGGGTAAGAGGAAGTGTTTTTTTTATTATTATTATTATTATTTTCTACGACAGTCGTGGCCACACATTTACAATGCTAACCAGCATATGTACATTTTTTTTCTGTCACACAAGGGTTTTGGGGTGTGGTAGAGAACCAGGACTCGAATTCACGAAGCAATAATGCAAGTACTATGAACCTGTACATCTTTCCTCGATCTTTGACGGTTTTGGTTACATTTATTAAGCAGATTACAAGCATGAAAAGTTCCCAATCAACTATTGTTATTGTTATAAACAGCCTCCTGGTGCTTCGGAGCTCATTAACTGTTTGTAAACAAAGCCGCCAAAGATTGAGGAAAAGATATTCAGGTTTGTAAGTGCCTGAGTAAGTGCTTCGTGAATCTGGCCCCAGGTTCGTAAGTGTCTGCATAACTACTTCGTGAATCTGGCCTGGGGTGTAGAGGGTGAGAGGAAGTGTGGGTGTGGTGGAGAACACACGTCACCGAACAGAGGTCTCACACCAGTGATTTCTCTAGTAATTTAACATCTTCCAGCAGTCACAATAACATGGCCTGTCCCTGCACCCCTTCACCCCCTAGCCCAGGGGATTGGCGCGTCCCTCCTCACCAAGGACAATGTCTAAACATCGTAGAGGGAGCGTGCTAGGTGATTACGACGGGTTTGCCATACCCCGTGCTGCTGGGGACTTTTTGTTCACAGTGGCTCAATCTAAAATAATATACTCGTATGATCCGGAGGGCATTTGGGTGGTATATGAAGCTGTTCCTCTGGTCGAGTGGGAGCTTTACCAGAGCTTCAAGGTCGACAGTGCTTGAGGACGACGGGTGTTGGAGCCGCAGCACCTTGCCCTTGAGGAGAGGAGGAGGAAGGGGCTATCAGGGGAAAGTGCCAAGTCATTACGACTATATAGCACTTGGAAGGGGTCAGAATAAGGATTAGGGATGGGACGGGGGGAAGGAATAGTGCCCAACCACTTGGACGGTCGGGGATTGAACGCCGACCTGCATGAAGCGAGACCATCGCTCTACCGTCCAGCCTAAGTGGTTGAGGAGAGAATGAAGCAAGGTGTGAGGTTGTTAACTGATATGCTACTGAATCAGTCGTTTAGTTGTTTGCTAGGATGAAACGTGCATTGGGAAGCCCTTCTTAGGGCAATAGCCGTCTGCTCAGTGAAGCCAAAGATGCATTCATAAATGTTAAACTGAATTCAAATTCGGTGTTTTGTATAAATTAACACTTATCTTATATAGGAGTTTGGTGTCAGTTTAGGTCTGAGTAAGAGATGTGCGATTCCAATAGTTTATCAGCGATGAACTCTGAGAAATGTTCGAATTTCATCAGTTGAGTCGTGTGCAAAGTGTTCATTTATTACACGGGTTTAACGGGCGTGGATTAACGAGCATTCAGACGTTGTTGATGAGGACGGCTGTGTTAGTAGGGGCAGCTGAAGTATTTTTGATATCAAGTGTTCGTGATTTCAAGGAAGAGTTCCACGACGTTGACAAGAAATTGAAATCAATTTCAATCTACTGACGTTCAAATCTGCATGTTTGTCCTATTAGAGAGCCTTGTTCCGCCAGCCCAGGGCTTGTCGGTGGTTTCATCTGAGCTGTTTGTAAGAATTGAGAGCTCTTCTACTCCCCAAACCCGGCTAGAGGCCATGGGCCAGATTCACGAAAGCACTTACGCAAAAACTTACGAACCTGTACACCTTTTCTCAATCTTTGGCGGCTTTGTTTACAATTATTAAACAGTTAATGAGCTCCGAAGCACCAGGAGGCTGTTTATAACAATAACAACAGTTGATTGGCAAGTTTTCATGCTTGTAAACTGTTTAATAAATGTAACCAAAGCCGTCAAAGATTGAGAAAAGATGTACACGTTCGTAAGTGCTTGCGTAAGTGCTTTCGTGAATCTGGCCCCTGGCTCGACTTTAGAGCTTGGTCCACCAGGCTGTTGCTTGGAGCGACCCGCAGGCCCACATACCCACTACAGTCTGGTTGGTACGGCACTTTCTTGCCAGTGTGGGACTTGTATAGGTGGGATCTGCAGCCTGATCTTTTGATGTTGTCTGCGATTTCTGGCGCCATTTGTAATTTTGTGTCCTATTTCCTGTTGTTGTTCTAATGATTAATGTCTGCCACTGCCACCACTTCCACCTATGGTTGCTGCCACCACCCCCACCCCCCCCCTGCGGTTGCTGCCACCACCACCCCCCCCCTACGGTTGCTGCCACCACCACCACCCCCCTACGGTTGCTGCCACCACCACCCCCCCCCTACAGTTGCTGCCACCACCACCACCCCCCCTACAGTTGCTGCCACCACCACCACCCCCCCTACAGTTGCTGCCACCACCACCACCCCCCCCCTACAGTTGCTGCCACCACCACCACCCCCCCTACAGTTCCTGCCACCACCACCACCCCCCCCCTACGGTTGCTGCCACCACCACCACCACCCCCCCCCTACGGTTGCTGCCACCACCACCCCCCCCCTACGGTTTGCTGCCACCACCCCCCCCCCTACAGTTGCTGCCACCACCACCACCCCCCCTACAGTTGCTGCCACCACCACCACCCCCCCCCCCCCTACGGTTGCTGCCACCACCACCCCCCCCTACGGTTGCTGCCACCACCACCCCCCCCCCTACAGTTGCTGCCACCACCACCACCCCCCCTACAGTTGCTGCCACCACCACCACCACCCCCCCTACAGTTGCTGCCACCACCACCACCACCACCACCCCCCCCCCTACAGTTGCTGCCACCACCACCACCCCCCCCCCTACAGTTGCTGCCACCACCACCACCCCCCCCCCCCCCCTACGGTTGCTGCCACCACCACCACCACCCCCTACGGTTGCTGCCACCACTACCACCACAATTTGTCACCGTGATTACAGTACTGATACGCAACGTGAATGTTAGTGTTGTCAATGACAGTGCATTTCCTGTTGGATAATGCCAGGTGGAATGTTTGCAATGTCACTTCTGCTCAATTGTTTGCAAGATCCTGGGCCCCCTTCCCTTACCCTCCCCCCCTCTCCCTTTATCCTTCCCACTACCGGCTCTTCCATTACCCCTTCCCTTTACCTATCCTCCCTTTACCTATCCTCCCTTTACCTATCCTCCATTTACCTCTCTTCTCTCCCTTACCCATCCTCACCTGTCTTTGGTGGGGCAGCGAGTCAGACGAGTAACTATGCTTCGTCCTCTGGGGATGAATTTTGTAGTTTTGATGAGTGAAGCTCAACCCCCCCCCCCCAAGCACAACTAAGTGAATACAACTAGGTGAATACACACACACACACACACACACACACACACAAACATACACACACGCACGTTTATACGTGATCAATATTAATATTAGGTGTAAGGACGGGGGCATAAAATACATGTATACCTACATAATACTATCTTATTTCAGGATTTTTGTCATGTATAAAACACACACACACACACACACACACACACACACACACACACACACACACACACACACACACACACACACACATTTAAAGATTGAGTTATTCGTCACTGTATTGCATGTTTTGTTGCATTATTGCGTAGTTCATTGTATATTTTACAGGTTATTTTTATGTTCATTATCAACATACACACACACACAGTTATATATCACAGGTAAATGTTCTCTCTACTCTGTTCATCAGGTTGTGTACGGGTGTCTGATGGTGTTCATGGTGTTAGTGGTGTTCTTCGAGGCCAAGTTGGAACAGCTAATTGACCTGTCCCACATCAGCGCCTGGGACGGGGGATACTTCAGGTACCGTCACCTCCGTCCTATCCTCCTGGAACAGACAGCATAACGTGCAGGAAGAAATATAACCCAACCTTGGATTTGGGTGAATAAGTTCACAAGGGTCGTGACAAGGGTTCGAACTTAGGTCTGAGAGGATCCAAGACACTGCCTTAATTGACTGAAGCAGCGTCTGGGATGCTCTCAGACGTAGGTTCGAACCCTCGCACGGCTCTTGTGGATTTGTTCATTTGATGCATCAGGCTATTGTGATTTGTGTATATTGCATTTGGGTATTTACTTGGAAATACAAAACTTGGATTTACAAAGCTGTTATGGTGACCACAAAGAATAAATAGTACCTGATTTTTTGTCTCTATAGTATTGTATTCAAATTATAATTGGCATCAGTTGTGTAAATTTTAGGTTGTAATATTTTAGGGAAATGGGGTTTTAACGGGTTTAATTAATATTGCCTAAGATTGAGAAACGGGTTTATTAAAGTATACTAATATAGTTTATTTTCCCAGTAAACTTACTTGTTCACAGGACACGAGAAAATCATATACAATGGTGAAATACATTGATTTGTTTACAAAAACAGATCTCTCATCGAAGACATACACAAGTTTATAATAACTCAAGAAGAAAATATTTCAAACAATCTTACACTTTATAATTTTAGTATTAACGAGACAATATTGACAAAAATTCAACTCCTATTCTAGATCACCCAAAATCTGGAATCCTCCGAGGCCACAATACCTAGATCCTGTCCATGATGGTGGTGTGAACAGGACCAAGTTCGATGCCCCGCCTCCTGTGTACGTGAAGGCCATGCCCAATGAGTTCTTCAAGACCGACATCGGCCTTGACCCTCGACATCCCCCCTTGAAGACCATCTTGATCTGGGTTGACGTAAGGAATGTGTGTTTGTGTGCAAATGAAAATGGCATCTATTGACGAAATAGAAATGTATTGATGTGGCAAATATCTTGAGCAGATCAATGTGATGAGGGAGTAGGTGGATTGTTAAGAGGGGTAGTTAACCCCACTATTGTGGGGGGTTGTTTCCTGAGAAAGGTCAGTAGTTGGATTAGGAGGACGGCGATAAGCTTTTCACAGGCTTCCTGTCACCGGAAACCATTGTTATGGTTAGCCTGAAATGGTCAATGTTAGGCTGTATCAAGGTGGTTGAAGTTATAGCTTTCCTGCCACTGTGATTTCTATGATAATGTTGATTGTATCTGAATGCTGTTGTCAAATGCAGGCGATGAGTCACAATAACGTGGCTAAAGTATGATGACCAGACCACACACTAGAAGGTGAAGGGACGACGACGTTTCGGTCCGTCCTGGACCATTCTCAAGTCAATTCAATTTGCAATAGACTTGAGAATGGTCCAGTACGAACCGAAACGTCGTCGTCCCTTCACCTTCTAGTGTGTGGTCTGGTCTGGTCATCATACTGTTGTCAAACTAACCCCTGCAGGACCACAGGAGTTACAGTGCCTCACTATACCACCCGCAGGGTTATGGTGCCAAGACACTGTCGTATGGATTCGGACGCGCACCGTTCCAGAAGGCGAAGTGTGAAGTTGACACCTGTATGGTGACTGCCAATCGCTCCTTCGTTCCCCTGGAGGAGTTCGACGCCCTGGTCTTCCACTTCAGGGTGTTGGAACCACACGGTTTGCCTAAAAGGAGGTATTTGCTGAATTTGTCACATGTTGTATTTAAAGATCGAGTTATTTGTCATTGTATTGCATGTTTTGTTGCATTATTGCGTAGTTCATTGTATATTTTACAGGTTATATGTTCATTATCAATAGTTAGATCTTAGCATCTCGAAAGTAATTGTATCTTGTATATTGTTTGATTAAAATATATGCAGTTATCATCCATTGTGTTAAAATTATCGAAGCAAATGCTTTCTCTGTGTGTGTCCCTCTCCCCCCCTCCCTATATCCCTCATTTCATGGGTTGTCCAAGGTTAAGGATGCCCAAAACACTGTCTATTCTCCTAACTATGTTTCCCTCATAACTGTCACGTCTGTCCGGTGTTCCGTCTCATGTCCCCCTCCTGAAGCCTCCTGACAACAAACATGCTTTCTCCTCAGGTCTCCACATCAACGCTGGATATTTTGGGAGGTGGAGTCAGCCTCGTACGTGTACCAGAGCCCGTCCATCTACAACGGACTCTTCAACTGGACGATGACTTACAGGACGGACTCTGATATACCTTATCCGTGAGTCCATGTCCATTCTCCTGGGTGGGAAATGGAGGGACATTAGAACGTCCTGTTCCTGTATACTGGAGCAGCAATGTCTGCTATCATGGTGAATGACCCTCGCGAAATATTGTGTATTTATCTAGAGTGATGCGAGTTTTCTCATGTATTCAGGGCCAACGTTGCATTGTGCTTGCGGGGGTTGAGCTCTGGCTCTTTGGTCATATGTACCAAATACGACCATCAATAATACATATATTGTGTATTGATGGTCGTGAATGCTTAGTTGGTTTGCACAGGAGTTGTGCTCCGTATGTGAATGTGTTGAGGGTATGTTGTCGGTGAGAGACGGGGCCCAGGAGCTTATCCCTCTCGTGCTAGGAGAGCTCCAAGTGAGGGAAGAGCGTAGCTAGGAAATTAATCCACCTTGGATTTCCCCAGCATGTGACTGTTCATATAATCAGTGTGGTGAGGTTGTTGTTGTTAAAGATTCGCTACCTGGAACACAAAGTACCAAGTAGCACGGGCTATGGTGAGCCCCGTGTGGTGAGGGTTCCCAGTGAAGCCATGTGTACCTAATCCCCACACTCAATTCTCCCACAATCTCCCACAATCCCCACACTCAATAATCCCCACACACCATTCTCAAGTCAATTCGACTTGAGATTGGTCCAGAACGGACCGAAACGTCGTCGTCCCTTCACCTTCTAGTGTGTGGTCTGGTCTGGTCATCATACTGTTGTCAAACTAACCCCTACACGACCACAGGAGTTACAGTGCCTCACTATACCACCCGCAGGGCTATGGTGCCAAGACACTGTCGTATGGATTCGGACGCGCACCGTTCCAGAAGGCGGTCATGGCCAATGTGTGGTGACACTGTCTCTCGCTTCTGTCACGAGAAAGGTGAACAAAAAGGGAAGAGTTAACTAGTTACTCCTTTGTCTCACTAGCTATACATATTTGACCACTTGTATCTGATGGATGTGCTTACCTGTTCTGTGTCACGTTTGGGTACAACAAAAGTCCCATAGTTTTGTTTTTTAAGCAGATTGTCTCTGGAGGTCCTTAATTTATCATGAATTTTAGTCCATGAGAGAACAGGTTGTTGCTGCTTGGAGGACATTGAATATTTAGCTTGCAAAGGCATCAAGAACAGCCACAACCCGACACCTGTCCAGCAGAAAACTTGTATAAAAATTAAACATTATCGTATTGATGATCATTTGGGTTATACAAAATATTCTTCACATTTCGCGAGATCAATTTGTCGACAGTCAATTGGTCCACACATACATCTTCAGCCTAGAAGCCGGAGCACAATACGAGCCAAACACACACACCAGCGGTCAGATTCACGAAACAGTTACACAAGTACTTAGGAACGTGTACATCTTTCCTCAATCTTTGACGGCTTTGTTTACATTTATCAAACAGTTTACAAGCATGGAAACTTCCCAATAAACTGTTGTTATTGTTATAAACAGTCTTCTGGTGCTTCGGAACTCATTAACAGTTTGGCGGCTTTGTTTACAATCATTAAACAGTTAATGTGCTCCGAAGCACCAGTAGGTTCCTTTATAACAATAACAACGTTGATTTGGGAAAGTTTCCTGCTTGTAAACCGTTAAATAAATGTAACCATAGCCATCAAAGAGTGAGAAAAGATGTACACGTTCATAAGTTATTGCATAACTGCTTCGTGAATCTGGCTTCTGGTCCCCCAGTTCACTCGCCTCCTTTGGGAGTACTGGGATTGAGGAAGTACCTCGTACCGTTGGTGCTGTTTCTTCACCACTTTATTGGAGTCGACAGTGGAGTCTACTGTCGCTCTTGGTGTATAAACAACCAATAATAAACACTGTGTGTGTGTATAATTTTAGTTCTCGAGGAAGGAAAGTGTACAATTTTCCACACTTTCCGTGAGGCAAGAGTAGCTCTCTCTCTGCATGGAAGGTGACTTTGGATGTAGCTAAGCTTTATCACAGAAAAGGGCAGGAGGATGTTATTCCTACAGGTTGAATGTTGTCTCTCGTTCTTAATGTTCATTGTATTTAACTCCCCAAGCTCTTATTTCGTGCCTATGCATACCTTTAAAGAGGGGGTCTGTCGCTGGCTGAAATGATATATGGAAAGCCGTGGAGGTTTCCTTCCAGACATCGTCCATTTGTTGGCCTCTTCTGTGAGACATTTTCTTTTAAATCTACATTATATCAGTCTTTTTCTACTTGAAAAAAGAGGGTAATGACAAAATAGTGACATGAAAATGTGAGTTTTCTGCATGATCTCTGTCTTGGGTGTCAATTTGTATTATAGTTTTGCACAGAGTCAAGTTGGGATGCACTTTACTCCCTCTTATGACAAAGACGTTCCACAGCGTTTTCGTCGTTATTCTGTTCGCTGTATCAGGAAACGGTTGCATGCAGGTCCTTCCTGCTGGTTGAAACTGTATACAGACGACTACTCGAATTCGTTTGTAGCTTACCGGTTACACTAAGTTGAAACGAACTTGAACTGAATGCAGATAAGGAGTCACAATAACGTGGCGGAAATATGTTGACCAGACCACACGCTAGAAAGTGAAGGGACGACGACGTTTCGCTCCATCCTGGACCATTCTCAAGTTGGTTGTGATAGACTTGATCACAATCGTGGTCCAGGAAGGACCGTAACGTCGTAAGTCCCTTCACTTGAACTGAATGTTCCGATGGGCAAAGACGTTGGACTTTTTCATCCATCCACGAAGGTACCTTAACAGTCCATCCGGACCCAACACTTTCTAAAGAAGTGAAGGATACATTGTGTGGAGGAAACTCGTTAACTTGGGCTGATCTCATATGAGAGGTTCACAGAGGTCCTCGTCTCTAATTATTCAAGAGAGCTTTTGAGCCACAGTATAGAATAGTAACACTCTTTGGGAGTTACTGTTCTCCTCCACAGCACCTTAGTGCTGCTAAGTGTTATAAACTAGGTTGAGAAAAAGATATTCCGTCCATTATCCTGGCTTTCTATTGAACGCTTGTTATACAGACTTGGTTAATCTATCGTGTTGCTAAACGATTTGGTTCCACCTCCATCGTTCTTGATTTTTTGTTTTCCTAGCTTAATTGTAAATATAAATTACATCTGGCCATTTATGACTTGGATAGATAGATGGATTACATAAGTTTATTATACTGGTATAAAAGGTATCAGCTGTGCTCTGACGTTAACTGTGGCTTGTTGAGCCCGAAGCTGTTAAACCTTCCTTGTATGCGTTACATTTGATCCTTCTAAAAGATGTGCTCTGGTTTAATATTTTCTAATATGTTCTGTCTTTGAAATATTTCACTAATACCAACCCTATCATGTCTGGTTTGCAGTGACGATATTCCAATGGCATAAGAATGTAAAATATCAATGCTCTGTACTCTCATAAACCCAATGTGTACCTTGTATATAAATTAATTAATCTTATATGAGAGTGGAATTTGTTCTGGGATGATTTCTGTCGCTTTGAGCCGAGTTTTTGCCAAAGTAGTCATGTTCTTTGGGAGCCAAGAGGCCTTCACGCTATGGTACAGTAATACAGATGAGGGTACAGCAAAGACTATATAACTTGTTCAACTGTATAAAACACTATTTCTTGAAGACAAAGGTTAATTTGATTACTAATAAAGATTTTTTTTAACTGCAACTTCTATTATATGAAAGTATTACAGAGGGAAAGTAATGTGCAATTTGTTATTTTAATAAATTAGTTTAAAATCTTGACTAAAGACATTTGTTGGTAGGTACGGGCGCACGTATGCCATCTTGCCGTCTGTGGTGCCAGCTGTGGTGCCAGCTGTGGTGCCAGCTGTCGCCTCGCCACACAGGAACTATGCTGACGGAAAGACGAAAATGGCAGCCTGGTTCGTGTCTAATTGCTTCTCTATCTCACGTAGAGAGAAGATCGTTAGGTTCATGAAGAAATTCATCCAGGTGAGTGTCCACCAATCCACCAACCATCCACCCATCCACCAACCACTTGGGCTGGACGGTAGAGCGACGGTCTCGCTTCATGCAGGTCGGCGTTCAATTCCCGACTGTCCACAAGTGGTTGGGCACCATTCCTTCCCCCCGTCCCATCCCAAATCTTTATCGTAACTCTTAAGTGCAATATAGTCGTAATGGCTTGGTACTTTCTCTTGGTACCCTTCCCAATCCCCTCAAATCACCCATCCATCTATCCATACCATCCCCCCATTTCCAGTGACAGGACCTTTTTATTACTAGGTGAACAGGCGCATCAGGTGTAAGGAAACGTCCCTTCCTGACCGAGGGGCCAGATTCACGAAGCAGTTACGCAAGCACTTAAGAACGTGTACATCTTTCCTCAATCTCTGACGGCTTTGGTTACATTTATTAAACAGTTTACAAGCATGAAAACTTGCCAATCAACTGTGGTTATTGTTATAAACAGCCTCCTGGTGCTCCGGAGCTCATTAACTGTTTAATAATTGTAAACAAAGCCGCCAAAGATTGAGAAAAGTTGTACAGGCTCGTAAGTGCTTGCGTAACTGCTTCGTGAATTCGGGTTAGGAAATCCAGGTGTGATTTACTAGGTTCCGAGACGACTCAGTCACTTGGATTTCTAAACGAAATACATTTTTTGTGTATAAGAAGGGTATGATACATGGAATATCCCACAGGTGGTGTATGCCGCAGGTGGAGTGTATAACATGTGTTTATGCCGCAGGTGAAGTGTATAACATGTGCTTATGCCGCAGGTGGAGTGTATAATAAGTGTGTGCGCCGCAGGTGGAGTGTATAACATGTGCTTATGCCGCAGGTGGAGTGTATAATAAGTGTGCGCGCCGCAGGTGGAGTGTATAACGTGTTTATGCCGCAGGTGGTGTGTGTAACATATGTGTATGCCGCAGGTGGATGTGTACGGGAAGTGCGGCCCTCTGAAGTGCTCTCGCGAAAACACTACAGAGTGTTACAAGATGTTGGAGAAAGACTACAAGTTCTACCTCTCCTTTGAGAACTCCCTCTGTCGAGACTACGTCACTGAGAAGCTGTTCTCTGTCCTCAGGTGAGTGTTGAGTGAGTGAGGGTTTTACAGGCAAAGTGAAAATCGGAACAAAACATAATTATTCACCCCTGTTATATTATTCATGTGGGTAGCTTTGGATCAGTGTCAAATGGCACTTGCTTCATTTATGCCAACCTCGATCTAACCATGATGGGCGTGTTCCCAATAGTAGTTACTGTTAAAAATTAGGAGAGGCTATCTCCAAGAGCCTGTCCTCCAACCTCGGACAGACGTATTCATTTTGATAGATATAGAAGATAAATACGACCTTTACGAAGAGCATTGTACTGATAGTGCTGTGGACGACTTGTACTTTATCAAGGGAATACAGAGATTCTGTATTTTATTTATAATATCGATAACCTTCTTTTTTCAACGGTTTTCTTCAGGTTGATGCCTCATTGTCCGTTGACAGTAGACAATGAGTAATTATGTGTATAATTACATATGTAAAATAGTTATGTAAGTTTTCTATTATTCAGAGATATATTGGTTAACAAAGGCTTTGATAAAGCGCCCCCTGGCTGCTCTGAACACCAACTGGTGCATAAGCACTCGCTTCTCACGTGTCCGTTCTTGCCCCTCATTCTAAACTCGTCCAAATCTCCAGAAAATGTTTCCCCTTGAATAAGAATGTATGGTAATGAGGAAGGTGGATCGCCTACAGGTACGACGTTGTGCCCGTGGTCCTGGGCTTGGGGGACTACGTCAACATCGCTCCTCCTCGCTCCTTCATCAACGCTGTGGACTTCAAGAGCCTGCAAGACCTAACAGCCTACCTTAAGTACCTAGACACGAATGACACGGCTTATAATGAATACTTTAGGTAAGAAGAATTCTAGTTTATTTTACAATTGCATACTCTATCCTGGGAGTGGTGGTGGACCTCTATACCCATCCTGGGAGTGGTGGTGGACCTGCATACCCTATCCTGGGAGTGGTTGTGGATCTCCATACCCTATCCTGGGAGTGGTTGTGGATCTCCATACCCTATCCTGGGAGTGGTTGTGGATCTCCATGCCCATCCTGGGAGTGGTGGTGGATCTCCATGCCCATCCTGGGAGTGGTGGTGGACCTGCATGCCCATCCTGGGAGTGGTGGTGGACCTCTATACATGTCCCTTGGCAACCACTTGGGCTGGACGGTAGAGCGACAGTCTCTCTTCAAGCAAGTCTGCGTTCAATCCCCAACCGTCCAAGGGGTTGGGCACCATTCCTGACCCTCCCCCCCCTCCCCCCGGTCCCTTCCTAAATCCTTATTCTGTTCCCTTCCAAGTGCTATATAACCGTAATGGCTTGGCGCTTTCCGCTAATAATCTCCTTACATCCGTAATTATGTCCTTTGAAGTGAAGGTGAGAGGCGCGTAATGGCTTCAGAAACTGAACCCTAAATAGAAGTTAAACTTGTATTTCCACATGTTTATGGAATGACGTCGAATAGATTAGGTTTTGTGATGTACTGTATTCTACATCACAAACATGTATCACAAACCGGAGATCTGTCACAAGGTAAGACTTGTGGATTATATATGGTCCTATAGATTGGGTTCAAAGTCTACATTGAAAATAAGATAACTCTACTTGAATTTATTTGGAATTTACAACAAGATGGAATTTCCAAAATGAGAGGGTGCAGTAATGACGGTTTTAGGTTAAGTATTGTGCCAGTCATTCTTTAATATCATTTGTATCAATATTTGCTACGAAACGCGTTGCTAGAACCTCAGTTTTCTTCCTTGTGACCTAAAAGTATTTTAATGCAAAAATTAGTTTACTCGTGAGTTAAGCTTGAGAACTAATCACTTGGGCTTGAATGGATAACACTCATCCTTTTACAGTGGGAAAGATAAAGTATTCAAAGGCTTTTTACCTTTTGATAATTACTCTCTTACAGGTGGAAAGATCACTACGTAGTGGACGACGGGTGGTCGAGCACAGCCCACACCTTCTGCAACCTGTGCAAGAAGCTTCACCAAGACACAACACCAAAGGTCTACACGGATATGAGACAGTGGTTCGTAACCAACGGTGGCTGTAAGAAGCTTGATATGAAGTCCTGGTTCACGACAGTCAACTGACACTCTACGGTCAATATTTTATGAAGATAACCTCGAGGCTGTGAACAAGGTGTGTGTGGTTGTTGACCAGAAAGTTGGTGATCCAGGTGACGATAATATTTTGAACAATATTAGCACGTCTCTTCCACATCCAGTGATGATGCGTTGTGCACCTCATTAAAACTAACAAGGTTAATGTGGAAACGGTTCAGAATAGCCATATTTGTGCGATGCTCAAGAATTGTTATAATCCAAAGAAAATTTGATGAAACTTTGAACCTAGAGAAAGATTGTTTACATATGACTCTGGGTGCCAGGTTCTGCACTTCTGATGCCAAGTGATGTGGCACTTGTCGGAAGTCAATGTCATGAAAACACACTCACATTGTCTTAGCATTATTGCCATAGAGACTGAAGTTGTTTACCCGACAGTTGAAAGCTCTGAATAATAGGCAAGAAAATAAGCTTACATTAAAACAATCAATTCCTGTGATCACTTGTCTTGACACTTCTACCCAAAGAAATATTTAAGGAGGAAAAAGACAATTTGTTACTGTTAAATATCAAATTTTTATAGAATTATCATATTAAAAGTATCTATTTTTGCCCAAAAACATTTTAATTTTTCAATCCAAACTGAAGATTCACTGTGTACATACTGACCCAACAGACGTTCAAAACTACAAATGAAAAGTTTAATGGCTTTGCAGAGTCCTTAAACAGAAACAAGTCCCTTAAACACCAGGACTTACAAAAAGTAAGGCAAAGTTCTGTGGACCTCGTCTGATTAAATGAGCCCATTGGCCCGAAGCTATATTTTGTTTTGAAAGATATTATCTTAAGATGTTTTAAAAAGGCGTCCAAGTGAAAACTCCAGCACCCGGGGAGGCATTACGGCCCCAGGAAGCTGATAGCATCCTTCTCAACCTCTTGAAGGAGGCTGAATGGAGACCCTTGTCGAATTTGGAATGCTAGTCAGTTGACGCTGAAAGCGACTGGATCGATAACTTTGATATCCTCGACGTCTTACTTCCTCAAGGAAGCTCGGTGTCAGAGGATGACAACTACAGGAGTCCCCATCCTCCCAGAAGGCTCTATTATCCTCCCAGGAGGCTCTATTATCCTCCCAGAAGGCTCTATTATCCTCCCAGAAGGCTCTATCACAAAACAAACCTCACACAACCCTTTTTGTATATATTTTGTCCAGTTTCCATCCAAGTATCCGTCTTCATGTACTCTGTTATCCCCCATATTTCACCCTTGTCCGCTCTTGTTATAAGTTTCCCGGATTCAACAAATAGTTCCGTATCACCGTAGTGAACAGTGCTGTACCCGTCCCACAATATTGCTTCGCTCCTCATACCCCATCTTCCCTGTACTTCTTGTAACCATCCCATGCACTGACACCTGTTACTCTGATTGATTGTACTCTAGAAGCTCTTTTCCACGACTTGTACTCTTGGGTACTCTATCTAGCCATATCAAAGTGTCACATCTGTTAGGATAGGTAGTGGTACACTATCTCCATCCGTCTTATTCTTATACGAACATTTTCCTTGTTTAATTTTACTATTTACCTCTCCTACCACTTTTCTCTAACTCACTATTCTCTATTATTACACCTTTCAATCCTAATTTGTATCTAACACTGCTCTTTAATTTGGGTAAAATCTCACAAAATATTTGGGATTAAATATATGCTCCTTAGTTTTCAAAATATTCTTCCTCTTCATTGACCAGACCACACACTAGAAGGTGAAGGGACGACGACGTTGCGGTCCGTCCTGGACCATTCTCAAGTCGATTGTGGTAAACATACTTTAGCCACGTTCTTCCTCTTCCTTCATCTCATCTTGAAACTCGAACGGCAGTATCTTGCCACTCTGTAAGGGTCTACAAAATCCGCAACATGGCATTTTCTCAAACGTCATAATCTTAATGTTGTCTGCTTTGAATATAAACTTTCTTCTCAAAGGTTACATAGCCTTCCCGGTTTGGTGCCGTCTTTTGATAATTACTTATTTCTTCTCGAAGGCGTTCACAATCTTTTTGCAGTTTCTCCAAACTTTCTGCAAAGATCGTTTGGAGAAACGATCTGTATGCAAACGATCGGCGTAGTTTGCATACAGACATGTAAAAAAAAAAAAAACGTACTTGTTTCCACTACAGTCTCCAGCTCCAGGACCTGGATTTCAACAAGAATTTATACAACTACTTACAAGCCTGTACATCTTCTCCCGACGATCTCCCTTCATGTATGTCGGCGTTCAATCCCCGACTGTCCAAGTGGTTGGACACTATTCCTTCCCTCCCTGTCCCATCCCAAATCCTTATCTTGATCCCTTCCCAGTGCTATATAGTCGTCATGGCTTAGTGCTTTCCCGACAATTCCCTTCCCTTCTCCCAATCTTTGAGGGGTTTGCTTATATTAAACAGTTTGAGGTCCGAAGCACTACGAGGTTCTTCATCCTAAAAATCGTAAGTTGTGACGTTTCGAAGCTCATAAATTCTTTAGTATATGTAGAAAACAAATTTACATTACATTAAATAAAGATGTACAGGTTTTGTAAATCGTGTAAATACTTGATGAATTTTCGGCTAGCTCTATGCAGCTTTCCTCGTCTTAAACTTTCCATCTTTCTACCTTCTTTATCCTACCTGATCTCCCTTGATCATTTGCATCCTAAATCACCTTTCCTGGGATGCTTCGAAGCCAGACCCTCCAGCCTCCTGCTACACCATCTAAGATATTCAATTCCTGCTTGATTAGAAATTCCATTTAAATTTCTTTTTCAGTTCTGTCGATTTGCCAAGAAGTTTGAAAGGAGAGATCTCTTAGCGACTTTGAAAGGCTCCTCCGTCGTCAGTGACTGTTGGTGTGTTATACCAAAGATTGTGATTTTCTGAAGAGGATTTACATTGTCAGGATATATTCTACACAATGGGTTTCATGGGGTGTTTGTGAAGTTAGTATTAAAACAGACACCAGCAAGGCTCTGTAGCTGTTTGTGACCAATAATAGTTCTAGACTAGTAAATGCAAAGACTAGCAAATTAATTCAGCATAATTAAATGCTGAATTAATTATAATTCTCTAATTATTAACTCATTATTTTCTATAACATTTGAAGCGGTTGATGAGAAAATAAACAATGGCTACAGCTAAAAGTCTTTGTTACTGTACTTTACGAAAGACTGATTACCTAGGAATATGACAGGTGGGTGTTGAGAGGAAAACGGAGCGTTTGTGTAAATGGAATTCAACAAGTAACCTACAGGGTCGTCGTTCGATCCCTGATGACCCAAGGGGTAGGGCTGCGTTCCTTCACCTTGCCCTTCATATCTTTTCCAATTGCCATATAGTCACACTGGCTCATGATAACCTGTCGTTTCTTAAGCCTATATGTCTGAATCAAGACTGCTATTCATGTGCACCTGAGTAACGCGATTCTATATATGGATTTAGCTAAATATAAAATTAATACCTGGGTGACAGATACCACAAGGAATGCACCGGATTACATGGTTCCATTTTAAGGAACATCTGGATGATGTCGATTCATTAAGGAACACATGGATGATATTGACTAATTAAGGAACATCTGGATGACAAGATTCCATCGAAAGAAACAATTTACTTTTATGGTTTCATTAAGAAATACCTGTGTGTTATAGCTATCAGCTGACCCCTAAGATGACACAGTAAAACATGGTTCATATATTATTTCCAAGTTGACACTGGAATCATAAGGAAATTAAACTCGTCATATGCATAAATATTTTTATTGGATTTTACTTTATTTGGGAACTGTTATGGCAACAAATAATAACAAATATAACAATATAAAGATAGAAAAGAGGCATTAAAAACAGCTTTTCTGGACTGCTTCACAAAGCTCATGAATACAACATTGAAACAGTGGATTAAAAGGATGATGAAGAGGTTCATCTAAAATGCTAACTGCCGCATTGGGGTGATTGTATTGAAGATTAAGGAAAGATGCGAGATGAGGTGAAAAATGCAACACAATCATTGCATCTTGGTCAACTAGCTCGGACATAACACACTAAAGATTCAACAGAAGATCAACATTATAGAGTGTGATTCCATGTTAAATTAACATGTGTAAATCTTTGAAGCAAGATGGGGGAGGCCTTGAACCACCGTCCTGGCTTGTCCCAAGACGCGCCTCACTTCACCCTTGAACTAAGATGTGCTATCAGCAACACAACTGCTGACCGAGGTTCGATCCCGCTGTGCTGCTTCCAAGATTATCTCGTAGATATATCTACGGAATATGTCCTCCAGGGAAGACGAATGAGATGATCTCAGCGAGAGAAATTACAGTTGAGTGAATCACTTGACTCAAACATGATTTAAAATGTTCATGGACAAACTGGTATCACAATATATTTTGAAAACTTTGAGCCATGAGTGAAATGTTTATAGGCTCGCTGACATTCCTATATTGTTTTTATATGTGAAACTTTGGCGAGAATCAATTTGTCTCTGTTATTCAATTCTATTATTTGCTCATTGTAGCTGCCAGTTTGTTAGGACAGCAGTTCATTGAATGAGACGAGACGAGTGTATGTGGTAGGGTGATTAACATGAGTCGGTGTAGCTAACTTATTGTTATCAGTGTAACTATAGCTTTCAGTTGTTATTGTGACCAGCGTAACTAAAACTTCCAGTTGTGGTGGTTAGTGTAAGTATTACGTCTTGGGTTAGAGTCAAACAAGAACTGCAATATTAGTCTCCAAGTGCAAATGTGTCTGTATTTGTACTGTTGCTTAACAACTTCCATATTTCAAGGTTTAACTGGAGCTCCTGATAATTAATACACATTGAATAGCTTTGTGTAAAGTGCCATTAATAGTCCCCAGACAACTAAATATTTAAATGGTTTTCAAATTGACAGGAAATGAATACATTATCTGAATTTACCGAGATCCATCTTCCACCCAAATGTACCCCCATTTGGGCTGATGATTTTATCGAGTTAGATTTTTAAATTCAACAGTGTTTTGGCATTGTTTACGGCTTCGGCGGGTAGGCGGTTCCATAGGTTTCATGATTCATCACCTTGTGGGTGAAAAAATATATCTTTCTGTCCTGCATTGTGGCTTGTTGAGCGCGACATTATTGTTTCATCTGCATTTTTGGAGAAGACGTGTGAATCGACATCCTCCTAATTGGTCAGTATTTTACAAGTTTCGATGAGATCAGCTCTGTCATGTCTGGTTTGCAGTGTTAGCCTAATGGCCCCTCAACCTTTCCTGACACGGGCGTCGATTTAATTCAGGAGCTGATACACCTTCAATTCAGCCAGGGTGTATTGTACTGGTCTGAGACCTTTTAGAATCAATCAACATCAACAATTGATACATTAGTTTTACACTGTGTTCGAGAATATATCTCAAAATATCAACTCGAAATATTAATCTTAAATACACATATATGAGAGATCAACATCTTTTGAAAGATAAAATGAAAATTCGACCGAAACTTGAACATGAAGAATAATTAACTTCTGGGATTAGCTTATTCTTGGTATCGTAACTTGTGAGGAGGAATTACCCAGCACAGGGTACCTTTGGAGGCGTTGGTACCA